TAACCCTTGGAGTACCGGCCTCTTTTAACCGTGATTTTGATGACATGTGTTCTTTTTTAATAATCCTTTTACTTTTCAGCCAATATTTTCGTAAGATCTGACCTTTTCTTGTTTTATTCTATAGAAAAAAATGAGAACGATGTTCCTTATTTAGAACAATTAATACAAAAGACACGTTTGACAGAATGATCACTACAAACGAACGAAGAACAACTGAAACATTGAATTGATGTTTTCTTGTCCGTAGAACGTTCACAAATGGAGCACCTTTTTCGTTTTGGTTGAGTGGGATTTTCATTCGCTTCTGCCGGATCGTTCTTCGACACAGGATAACCGACGATTGCTAAAGCATTTAGAATATCTGTGTTCAAAAATTTCGAGTTCTTCGAACGAAAATCCAACAGATGCGATACCAGTGCTAATCCTAATTCTTCCAAAAATAATCGACGTTTATGATTTGTATTCTGCTTCCATTGAGGATTTTTCACTTTCCAGACAATCAGAGCATTTATGGCAGCAATGTCTATCATCCCATAGAAAATACAAACTGGCCATCGCTTTGTACCTCGTTTTACCTGAAAAGTAAAATAAGCTATAGAAATACTGAAATATTTTTTACCGTGTATTTATGACACATTTGATCAACAGTATCGACAGCCCCCTTTGTTTTGTTATAATCCAATATAATGATCGGTTTTCCAGTTTTATTGTCCACTTGATTGTCGTGATGTTTTGAGGAGAGCAATAAAACAGCTTTATTCTGTTTTGGGACAAATGAAACTAAGGTTAAACCATCTTGGAAACCAAAGAGCGAAGAACCCACTTCACGATTTTCGTTGGATTGAAACTCGATAGGTATTTCTGACTTGTTTTTTCGCAGTGTTCCTATAAGAGTCAGATTCTTTGTTTGAAGCGTTTGGGCTAATGGAACACTTGTGAAGAAATTATCTATTGTAACGTTTCTTTGGAAGCCGTAAAGTGGTTTGAGTAATTCTAGAACGACTTTGGCACCTATCTGTGTTTGTCTTTGCTCATTCGGTTGTCGTCCAACGTAAGGAAATGCATTGAATACATAATGTGAGTCCACATCAACGCATAGCCAAAATTTTAATCCGTATTTGTCAGGCTTTTTTGGCATATATTGACGGAAGGAACATTTTCCTCTAAATCCTAGTAGTTGTTCATCAATAGTAACATTTGATCCCGGTGTGTAACATGTTTGTAAGCAATTTTGGAAATATGACCAGATTTCACGAATTGCTGCAAATTTATCTGTTCGTTTTCTTTCTTCCCTTGTTCTTTTGTCGTCAAATCTCAAACAAGAAATAATATCCTGAAAACGAGTTCTTGACATAGTGGCTTTGAATATTGGCGGTTCTAATGGACTTCTTCTCCATAAGCATTTCAGATCGATCTTCGATTTCCCCAATAAACCAGCAAGCAATAAAAGTCCAATAAATGCTTTCAATTCTATGAGTGTTATTTCTTCAATTTTTTTCGTGGAGGTATTCTTGTGAGTATACTCCAAGTTTGAATAATCCAAGATTTTTTCCAGAAGTTTGTTTGGCATAAAACACATGAATGCATCTTCGACAGATGAAATATTTTCACTGGTATTTGTAAGACCAGCTTTTTGAATAACATCATTCGAAAAATCATTTTTCGTTGAATGATGAGGAGTTGAGGACCAAATCATTCCAGAACGGGAAGTATACGAACTTTTCCATGTGGAGTCATCGTCTAATTTTAGGTTTTCTAAATCAATTTCATCATCATCGTCGGATGTTTGGCTTTCGCCATCTCCCGTTTCCGAACCGCTGTTTGCATCATCGAAATAATCACTGTCGCTTCCGGTTTCACTTGAACTGTCCATAATCTTTATGAAAAATATTTCAATGGATTGAAAATGCACACCCCTTTAGATCAGAGAATGACTCATTTTATTAGACATTAGAATTTTCATTGTTTCTCCGTTTTGTAAAAAACATATTACTGATACAATGTTTTACTAAGGGGGCGCACTAATATGGAGAAAGAATGTATTTCGTTCTAGATTCATTATCATATATCTCTTCGTAAAGGTTACTAGCTGCTGCTGAAAACTGCGAAACAACAAAACATGTTTAGCATTTTTCGGAGATTTCGAGCGTGGGGTCAAAAATGACCCCGGCTGGTACTCCAAGGGTTAAATTAACATCATCATCAAATTCACCTGATTATGTTGCTTTTCGAACAATTGGATTTACAGAAGAATTTCAATCAGATTGAATTATATTATTAGAAATATCACTTCTTCCACATATTCATCAATCAGTTATTAATATAAAACAAATGTTAAATCAATTTAAATATTGAACAAGTCAATGTAATCAAATAATTCAAAAATTAACATTAGCTGATCTTGATCGTATTCTTTATGATGGAAAAGGTTTTTATGTTTATTTAATACTTGATTATGGAAAATTTTTTTATTGTGGTAATCATGAACAAATATCAATTTTAGATAAAATTCGTTTATTTAATCAACTTAAACATACATTTTATAATAATTTAAAACAAGGAAATTGGTTAATGGAATATATTGTTAATAGATTAACAATTCTTCAAAATACAAAACAGGTTTTTTCTTTTTTCTTTTAAACAAAAAATAAATGTTTAGTTAGGAATTAATGGTATGAAAATGTATTTGGTTATGTATCAAGATTATCTCGTTTATTAATGATTCCATATTATTTTGATTTAATATTAACTATGGATCATATAATATAATAATTGAACATATAGTTATGAATTAATGAGTCCATTTATAAATCAATCATCAAATTTTCTTCGTCAACTTTCACAATCGACTATTCAATTAATAAGTTATGTACGTAATGCATGTTTACCATTATTATCACCTAATTTACGTGAACCTCGTCCATTAGAAGGAAAAGATGAACAAACATTTGAACTTATTCAATTATGTCCATCATTAGCTGTAGGTTTTCCATATTTTGCTGCTGGAATATGGAGAAATTGGGGTAGAGATACATTTATATCATTACGTGGTCTTATTTTATTAACTGGTAGATATGAAGAAGCTCGTTATTTAATATTATCATATGGTGGATGTCTTCGTCATGGTTTAATTCCAAATTTATTAGCTAATGGTAAAATAGCACGTTATGGCTGTTTGATGGTGGTTATATTCAATATCAAATTATACTCATTTAGTACCTAATGGTTATGAAATACTTTCCGATAAAGTATCACGTTTATATCCAACAGATGATAGTACAGCACAAATACCTGGTACACATGATCAATTATTATATGATGTTATTCATGAAGGTTTTTTTTTACGTCATATTCAATTATTAAGTTTTCGAGAACGTGATGCTGGACATTCTTTAGATTTTGTTATGACTGATCAAGGTTTTAATAATCAAATTAATGTTGATACTAAAACTGGTTTTATTTATGGTGGAAATCGTTGGAATTATCGAACTTGAATGGATAAAATGGGTTCAAGTGAAAAATCAGGAAATAAAGGTCATCCAGCAACACCACGTGATGCTTCAGCTATTGATTTTGGTTGCTTTAGCTCGTGTAACTATTTCATGGATTATTCATATGAATAAACAAGGTTATTATCCTTATGATTCTGTTGAAACTTCTTCTGGTAAATCTTTTTTTTTTCTTAACTTTTTTAATTTACAAAAAAAATTCAAAGGATCTAGTGGAAAAACCAAATTACTTTTTACTCATTGGTTAAATCTTATTGATGAAAATTTTGAAAAAGAATTTTGGATTGATGAATCAAATTCATCAGAATTTGTTAATAGAAAACAAATTTATAAAGATACTGTTAATTCAACACGTGTATGGACTGATTTTCAATTAAGACCAAATTTTATAATTGCTTCTGTTATTGGATAAGTTTTTTTTTCAGTTTTTCTTTTATTAAAAGGCTCCAGAAATGTTTGATAAAAATCATATATGATTAGCATTGAAACAAGTTGAAACAATTCTTTTAGGAAAATATGAAATTAAAACTCCTGATTCAAGGTAAAACAAAAAAAAAACAAAAAGAAAAATTTTATTTAAAAAAAAGCAAAAATAAAATATCTAAATATTATTCTTTAAAGTGATTATAATTATGTTGGTGATTATTATAATGATGATGATTCACATGATTATAAACGAGCTCATGGTTTTAATTATCATAATGAACCTGAATGGTTATGGTTAACTGGTTTATTATATAAGATCAAAAATATATTGGTCAAAACAACAAAATGATCCTTATTTATATAAACAAACAATAAAACATGTTAGACAAATAATATCATTACTTATGGATTTATTTATGTCAACTGATTGGAAAGGTTTACCTGAACCAACAAATGCTGATGGACGTTTATGTCCATATTCATGTTGTGTATTAGCTTGGTCAGCAGCAACTCTTATTGAAACTTTATATGATCTTATTAGATCATAAATTTAGTTATTCAAAGTTTTTTCTTTTAGAATGATTTCATTTATATTAATATAGAATGTTTCGTTTTTTTTCCCGTTTATATAATTAGTCATTTAGTAAATATCAGTCTTTCCTTAATTATTCATTAATAAATATATATATATTAGTGTAGATATTTAATATTTAGATTTTTAATTCGTTGAATTCTATATTATAAATATGAAAACATAAAATGAAACAGAACTATGGATGCACCGATCATTTTTGTCTATTCTTCTGCTATGCTACATGGTACATCCCAGAAACTTGAGTAATTATTTTTCTGCCAAGAACTGATCTCTTGTCTTCAGAGCTGTACAAGTACGAGTACAACTTGTACTGTCTTATTTCTCCAAGCATTCTACAATTCATGTACTTTATGTACTATGTATCAAGTATTATGTATCAAGCATTATGTATTATGTATTTTACATAGATCCATATATATACCCTCAATAATACATAGTACATAAAGTACGTGAATTCTAGAATTCTTGATTTTGTGGAAGAATATATATGATTCTGTGTAAAATACATAATATATAATACATAATATATAATACATAGTACATAAAGTACATGAGTTCTAGAGTTCTCGGAGATATAAGACAGTACAAGTTATACTTGTATTTGCGCAGCCTTCCATAAACATGGTTTTTCTAGTTCTAAATTAATATTATTGATCTTAACGACGATAGTCGAAGTTATATTCCTAAGTAGAGGAGATAATGACAAAGGAAATATTTCTTTCATATCTGATTACAGTGATTAAGGTAACTAAAAGGACTAGTTGAACCATGAAAACCTATGGTTATGACGGGTTTAAAAGCATCAGTGGTTGATACCAGCATGGAGACGTCTGAGTAATAGCCAAATCCGATCATCTCAGTAAGTTCTTGATATTCTATCCGTCAATATTTGCCTTAAGGACCCCCCTCCCCCTTCAGAAACGAACTTTGTTATTTTCTCTTCCGATGTCAACGAAAATTTCAGAGAATGTTAGTCTTGGTTAGAATAGATTATGGTTAAAATATCTCCCCCAAATCTCTAACTTATACACAAGTTCTAGTGAATTCATTATCCGTTACGCGGGCAAGGATTTCA